TAGACTTGCAGTGCAGCGATGTCATAGCATTGTGACGTCATCAAGCTTTTACGTCATAGCCTTGTGAGTCGTGTAATTGATAATGAAAAAGCATTGTGATCTCATGCAATTAATGACGCCAGGGCATTGTACAAAAACTACTGTCAAAATGATATCTTCGAGGAGATATCATTTGACCTCACACAAGCAATACCTCCTGTGGAACACAGTTTTGAATAAGTTGGTATACCTGCTCTGTTTGTATACAATTATATCGCCAATGTTTGTACATAGGTATATTTACACTGTTTGTATACAGGTATACCTGCACTATGTGTGTATGGGCAGTCCGTGACATTTATTGATGTAGGCCATAATACAAAACAATCAAAATTGCAGGTAACAGCAGGTAACAGTGGTTGACAACAGATCACTATTCCTCGTACTGTCGTACTACTTTTTACTGTAATGGTTCATGCTGTACCTGGCATGTTCAAGACTCAGTTGGGGCGGTGGGGTAGCCTAGTGGTTAAAGCGTTGGCTCGTCACGCCGAAGACCCGGGTTCGATTCCCCACATGGGCACAATGTGTTAAGCCCATTTCTGGTGTCCCCCGCCGTGATATTGCTGGAATATTGCTAAAAGCGGCGTAAAACTAAACTCACTCAGTCAGTCAGTCAAGACTCAGTTCTTTTTTAAATAATAAAATCATGATTTTTAGATGCTATCAATTATTCCTATTGGCACTTTTTGTAATATGGTCACACCTGCACTATCATACCTATACTTAGTATGCTTGTCCAAACCTTTACTCTGTGCATGTTCATACATGTACTATTTATGGATGTATATCCAATTACGCTTGCAATATGTATATATTTATAACTGCACCATGTATAATAATAATCCTTGCAATATGTGTATATATTTATACCTGCACCATGTATATAATTATCCTTGCAATGTGTGTATATGTTTATAACTGCACCATGTATATAATTATACTTCCAATATATGTATATATTTATACCTGCACCATGTATATATTTATTCTTGCAATATGTGTATATATTTATACCTGCACCATGTATATAATTATCCTTATCAATATTTATATTGCAAGGATAATTATATACATGGAGCAGGTATAAATATATACACATATTGCAAGGATTATTATTATACATGGTGCAGGTATAAATATATACACACGGCGCAAGGATAATTATATACATGGTTTTGCACCATGTATACATAATTATCTTTGCAATATGTGTATATATCTGTACCGACATTATGTGTATGTGATGAAAACCTGCACTTTCACATGTTCAGTTACACCAGTACTTAGTTTATATGTGCGCTTCCACTAATGGTGGAAATGAACACAAGGGACGTAACTCCTACTTTCTTGTCGTACCTTTTGATCTGATTTTATCATTGACATAAACTCCGGGTGTCTTTTGTTGATGTCACAGGGAGAGGTAACCCGGGATCACGGTAGGCCCGTGGTCATAGAGTCCTCAACAGTATCCCACATACACCACAGAGCCTCAGCTTAATATGGAGTGAGTGAGTGAGTTCAGTTTTACGCCGCTTTTAGCAATATTCCAGCAATATCATGTCTGGGGTCACAAGAGTGGGTGAGTCAGTCAGTCAGTATGGTTTTACGCCGCTTTTAGCAATATGCCAGCAATATCAGGGCGGGGGACACCAGAAATAGGCTTCACACATTGTGCCCATGTGGGGATTCGAACCCGGGTCTTCGGCGTGACGAGCGAAAGCTTTAACTACTAGGCTACCCACCTCTCCCGTTTAATATGGAACCAAAGAAGGTCCCAGTAATGCAGAGAATCGGCGGACATGATGCTGACCGGGCAGTAATACATAAACTGATGTGCAAAAAAAGTACACAGGTTGTGTTTCTTCCAATAAGATAAAAATAACAAAACCTTTTGATGAAATGGAAAATGTATGTTGAAGCACACTGCAATACACGTGTTTTATCAGCAAAATGACATTGTAACAATAAACAGCGATGTAGTGATGACCACTGCAGACGGTTCCTACGATGCTGGAAGGTCAAGGCCATTCCACGCAGCGGTCGGTAGGCCCATACATGCCAGCAGGACGAAGTCGTCTTGTCACTGTGAATCGGCTTACGCGATGACCCAATGATGTGGCTGTTGATGACGTCACCGTCAACATCCAGTTGCGTAGGTGAATAACCCGCAGATAGCGATCCTCTTGGGGTGTTGTGACTCTGGAACGTCCACTTCTGGGTCGATCACATGTCTGCCCTGTCGTACTGAAACGGTTAAACAGCCGAATTATGGTTTGTCTTGTGCAACCCAATGTCCTTGCAATATCGCTGTTGAAAGCACCCATTTGTGTCATTCCTTTGGCCAGTTCTCGTTGCGCCGACGTCAATCTTGGCATTTCCTCGTGAGATTTCTGTCAAGTGATTGTTCAGTCTTCACGACAAACAGGTTTTATACTCTCTGTCAGAAAAGTGCTGGTGCATGGGACAATAATCACAATTTTGCAAAAATTCGTGCAAAATACGTACAAATGTTTTTGGTTGCATTTTGGCAAATGAAACATGATGGTTGCGTTCTATACAATCAATGTTTTTCAATAATTTTATTAGTGAGAACGCATATTTGGGATTGCAACAACAATTACACCTGTGTACTTTCTTTTGCTCGTCAGTTTAGTAGTCTCTCCGATACGAGTCGTTTTATGCTTCTACACATCGTAATTTCTCCTCATACTTTTCGGAGGCGTAGCCTAGTGGTTAAAACGTTCGCTCGTCACGCCGAAAACCCGGGTTCGTTTTCCCCACATGTGTGATGCCTGTTTCTGGTGTCACCCATAAGTCCGAAATACTGATAAAAGCGGCGTAAAACCACACTTACGCTCTACCTCTATCACTCTTCACACGAAATCATGATCTTGACCACCGGTTTTATAGCAGACAAAATAAAGTGTTGCGGTGTCCTACAGTTACAGTGGGTGAGTGAGTTGAGTTTTACCCCGACTTTAGCAATATTCCAACAATATCACGGCGGGAGACACCAGAAATGGGCTTCATACATTGTGCCCATGTGGGGAAACGAACCCGGGCCGCCGTCGTGGACAATGGCGTTATACGACCCTACCAGAATGTGTAATATTGCTTATGACAATCCCCGAGAGACTGTTATGTACTAGCATTTTGGTGACCAACCTTTTATTCCCTCTGAGGTAATGTCCCATTTGTCAGACAGCTTATATCCAGATTAGGGAAGGTTGAGTGCGCTAGTAATTGTTACCGGTTTACCTGAGTCTAAAGTGCAACAGCCCTACACAAACGACAAAGATCCAAACTGAGAGGTATTAGGAGGAGTGAGTGAGTTTAGTTTTACGCCGCACTCAACAATATTCCAGCTATATGGCGGCGGTCTGTAAATAATCGAGTCTGGACCAGGCAATCCAGTGATCAACAGCATGAGCATCAATCTGCACAACTGGGAACCGATGACATGTGTCAACCAAGTCAGCGAGCCTGACCACCCGATCCCGTTAGTCGCCTCTTACGACAAGCATGGGTTACTGAAGATCAATATTTTAACCCGGACCTTCACAGGTATATTAGGAGGATTTTAAAACTGACGTACCTGGTGGTTTGAGATCATTTTCCATAAACATCAGGTGTGTACTTTCTATACCGGTAACAAATTTCAACATAATATACTATTCACACTTTGCTGAGGATCAAATCATGGATTCAACAGAAAACTATGACGTGGGGACAAATTTGGTTTAAATATCTAAGCTTATTGTAAGCATGGATCCTAGGTTTCAGTATGTCACTGCATCTTGTGGATCCCATACCTGCTATTGACAGGTGTGGTGTATTTGTCGTTCCATGATTGGCAAAATGGTTGATTGGTGCCATGCAAACCACTTTTATAGTTATTCATGTATCAAGTGCTTAAGGTTAGATTAAAGTGACTGTTTGCCTAAAGAGGGGTTACCATATTATTATTTATTCAGTTTTAAATGGATACAATTTCAAATTATAAATCTACGTTTAAGTAAAGTTGTGAATTTTTGTGATCCTTAGCAAAGTGTGAGTAGTATATTTACCGTTACTGTGACAGAATTGTGATTATATCGTTGCCCGGATGATATCACTATAAACATTAAATACAAAATCGGTCAATAACAGTTGATCGAATTATATTATTGTTCATTTTATTGTAGCTAAGGCGAACAAACGACTTGATTTTGATTGTGTTTATCACCCTCTGAGCAGAGTTGCTCCCCTTGGCGTGCAAGGAACATTTGAGTGAGTGAGTTTAGTTTTACGCCGCTTTTAGCAATATTCCCAAAGGAACATATGATCTTAGTTTAGAATCCCTGTTCCATATCCGGGGCGGTGGGGGTAGCCTAGTGGTTATAGTGTTCGCTCGTCACGCTGAAGAACCGGGTTCGATTCCCCACATGGGTACAATGTGTGAAGCCCATTTCTGGTGTCCCCCGCAGTGATGTTGCTGGAATATTGCCAGGGTATGAAACTCCCAAAAATTTCAGCCAGACCACAGGGCTGGTTAGATGTAGGACTTGTCAGCCTGACCAAAACTTACCTGCCCGCAAAATATCTTCATATACATGTCTAAACCCGACCGTCGGGCAGGTGAATTTGAGAATCTGGCAGTCCGTGTTGAAAATACACCGTCCCGGGCGGTCGGTCAGGCAAGTATTTTGAACGCTGATATTGCTAAAAGCGGCGGCAGACTAAACACATTCACTCACTCATTTGCCCTACCGATCTGGTGTATGTGTACCTGACTTCCACCATACAGCACATAGACCGCACGCACACACACGCGCACGCACACCGCAAGATATAGAAGTGTTACTATCTAAAACAGCATCTGTCTGACTATGTTAACTAATATATTACAGGAAATGAATTTAGAACGTGAATACAAGACGTTGTTATCCAAAAATAGTTTCATGTATACAACAAATGACTCAAAAGTTCAATCATCGCTGTTTATTTGGCAGTTTAGTACACACAGTAAGTCAGTAAAAAATTCTTCTGGAAAATCCGTACAAAAGTAAACATCTGTACGAAATGCATAGATTTTGTGTGGTTTGTGTAAGAATTTAATCTGGTCCACGAATGCACCGACACACATGTAATTGCATATCAAATCTGAAAATGTAGCAATTCATCTAAAACATCTTCCATGAAAACTTACATGCAGATTCATGGTTGCATGTCATAATATCCCAGTCACATAGATCGGTGCTCATGATGTCTACCACTGGTCCAGTCTCGATCATATAAAACAGAACTTTAGTCACGACCATTGATTCTCCACGTTGACTAAATTAATAAGGAGACAGTGTCTGTATGTTCTCAAATATGTCACACCAGTGGTCAATCCGGGAATAAATATTTAATATACAATACCAGTTGCTCTCTCTCTGTCTCTCTCTCTGTCTCTCTCTCTCTCTCTCTCTCTCTCTCTCTCCATGTACAACAGAGACAGATACGACGTTACCACTAAATGCATTACGTTATCAATTACGTCACTCCTCAATACAATGACGTCATCAATTACGTCACTCCTCAATACAATGACGTCGTCAGTTACAAAGTCACTCCTCAATACAATGACGTCATCAATTACGACGTCACCCTACAATACAATGACGTCATAGTGAAAGCATCAATGTCAACCAACTTGCTAACACACTTTGAACAGAACAATTTCCAGGATTTGTTTGTCTGATGAAATGTCAGCATACAAGGCTGATGTGGAGACATTCCCAAATCAGACGCATCAGTAAAAATAAAACAACGTCCGGTGCAATTCTATTTTCTACTTGTACACAACTGACGTGCCTTTGCATGTTTTCGTGATGGGTGGGACCAGAAAGGAGGTTAGGCTCACCTTTCAGCGAACAGCTTGTATGAGCACTATTTCATAGTGATTTAGAGCACATGTTCATGATATCGTCCGAAAAATATTGTCAACACAGCTTGTAGTCAGAAATCCCATATGGATGGGATCTTCTTCTCTTTTGTTAGCAATGGTCATATTAAGGCACTCTTTCTGAAATAGACTTGAATGAACTACTATGCTGTCGAGTGATGCTTATCGTAGTGTCTTGCAGCTATTGCCAATTATTGTTCTAGAGCGCCAGGCAATATGACAATACATGAGTACGGAGGAATGACTTCATGAATGAGTTGGGTTTTATGCCCTTTTCGCCAATATTCCAGCAATACCCCGACGGCAGACTCCAGAAATAGGTTTCACGCATTGTACCCATGTGGGGAATCGAACCCGGGTCTCCAGCGTGACGAGCTAACGTTTTAACCACACTGCCCCAGGAATATGGAAGCGAACTGGGTCTTCGTGTGACGTTTGTGAACGGGCAAGGGGGGCAGGATCGCCTCGCCTTCCTTAATGCCTGACGTTTAGGTCACTTGTTTGTGGTTCCTAAGAAATGTTTTGCGCCTTAATCAGTTTTGTGGGCTGTTCCCGTTGGAATTTTTCATCAGGAGGTCTGTTTCCTCTCTAGGAGTTGAAACCGGTGAAGAAGATTCTGAACAATCTTCCTCCAGCTTCTTTGTGAGCCGCCTGGAAGCATCATCCGCCATGGAGGCTAACCGAGAGCCGACACCATCATCTTTGGGCTGAAACTTGGACCGGATTGCGAGGTTGAACAAGCTGGGTCTCCGTCTTTTGGCTTCAGCTTCAAGCTGCTTCTGTCTCCTCATCCTCTTTTGTTCTCGCACCAGTGCCGACTGGGTGTGGTGATAATACATGACGAAATTGTTGACAAGGATGGGTACAGTGAACCCAATCATGAGTAACCCGGACACGGCCGTCACTGATCCCACGAGGTAACCTAGATTGGTCACAGGAAACATGTCGCCATATCCGACCGTTGTCATGGTGATAAGCGCCCACCAGAACCCGTGGGGGATGCTGGTAAACGTGCTCCTGTCGTCGGCAAAGTAGATGAGGGAAGAATACACAAGCATCCCTACGAACAAGAACAACAGCATGAGAAGCAGCTCTCTTAAACTCGCCTTGAGGGTGTAGAACAGGATCCATAAACCTGGAATGTGACGCATGAGGCGGAAAATACGGAAGATCCTTGTGATGCGCAGGACCGGAAGTACGTCGAGTGTGTCACGTGAGTAGTAGTTTGAAGTAGACAGACGATACAATATCTCGACGATATCCGGGATCAGAGCTACGATGTCGATTACTGTCATTGGTAGAATGAAAAAACTTCCCTTCTTTGGGGAAAACACAAGTTTTATAATGAACTCGAGCAGGAAATATACTGTACACACGACATCGATGATGAATAAAGATGGATGGATCTGAACTTCCGGTTTACTGACCCCGTCGGCCTTAGTGTTTGCGACACCGGCTGAAGAGGTGTTGTCGGTGGTACTGGCGTTGTTGATGGCGCTGGAGTTTGGGAAAACGTAAGTCTGGAAACTTTTGTGTGTTTCTGCGCAGAATGAAAATATGGAGAGGACCACAAACAGCATCGAAACAGCGCCGATAACCTGGAACATATAGAACGTTAGATGCTTAAAGAGTGAGTGAGTGAGTTTAGCTCACCTATCAACAGACTTTCAGAAATGACTACATTCTCATCGTTTTTTCGTAATACGTAATATTTATTGTAACGAAAGGTATTGTTATCTATAATACATAAGAAATTTCATACAGATAAGAGAAAAAAGGAAAACACCCAAATTAGCCCATGTATCTCATAATACATAATAATCAACTACACTAATCGTTAAGTTGTTTTATGCCGCACAGATCTTGATTTCCAGCTATATGGCGGCGATCTGTAAATAATCGAGTCTGGACCAGACAATCCAGTGATCAACAGCATGAGCATCGATGTACGCAATTGGGAACCGATGACATGTGTCAGCGAGCCTGACCACCCGACTAACAAAAGATACAGTAGATATCGAGTGAGTGAGCTAGTTTAGTTTTACGCCGCACTCAGGAATATTCCAGCTATATGGCGGCCGCCTGTAAATAATGTAAGTATGTATGTATGTATGTATGTATGTATGTATGTATGTATGTATGTATGTATGTATGTATGTATGTATGTGTGTGTGTGTGTGTGTAGAGAGAGAGATGAGATGAGAGAGAGAGAGAGAGAGAGAGAGAGAGAGAGAGAGAGAGAGAGAGAGAGAGAGAGAGAGAGAGAGAGAGAGCACAGCGATCAGTCACGATCAGTTCATCACTATCAAAGATTGAAGCGTATTTGATAGGAGTAGGGGCTGGTATTTCTACACCTCCACAAGATGATAACAGAAAACTATGAAGAGGTGTCAAATTTGGTTTAAATATCTAAGCTATTGTAAACATTATGAATGTTTGTGTTCCTTAGCAAAGTGTGAGTAGTATATATTATTTCACCTTCAAGGTGAACGACACATACATATCTTATCGTGATGGAAAATTATGTAAAAGGATACTACTCATACTTTGCTAAGGATCACAAAAATTCTATACTTAAACGTAGATTGAGCATTGACATGTGTCAACCAAGTCAGCAAGTCTGATCAACCGATCCCGATTCTAACCCGGATCTTCACGAGTGAGTGAGTGAGTGAGTGAGTGAGTGAGGTTTTACGCCACTTTCAGCAATATTCCTGCAATATCACGGCGAGGGATACCAGAAATGGGCTTTACACATTAATTGTACCCATGTGGAAACGAATCCGGGTCTTCGGCGTGACGAGCGACCGCTTTAACCACCAGGCTACCCACCGCCCCGCCAGGGTAGTAGCTATGGCAACGTTGAATTATGTGGAAAGGGAATTACATGTGACACATTCACGTCATGTGTTACTTAATATTCAAGCCTTTTGTTACCGGTCGATAATTTCCTCGAAGTTTATATGATCTGACAGTTATTCAAAATCTGTTACATGGTTTACTGTTTCGTTTGGTCTGAGTACATAAGTACCTGTTCATGTATTCGCAAAATTGTAACACACTCATTTGGCTGATGTTATATAAACCTAGGTCAAGCAGTTATTGTATGTACCCAAGATTAAGAGACCCTCTGAGACCACACAGCCTTTAATGGTAATCTAAATAATTGGTTGCCAATTACAGTGCAGGTGTTCTTACAGGTTAAGGTGGATATGGGGAACGAAGGAGGGGGGAACGAAGGAGGGGGGAACGAAGGAGGGGGAACGAAGGAATCGTTTGTTCCCGAATACTGACAGCTTGAATGATATAGCAACAAAACGCGAGTGAGTGAGTGAGTATGGTGTATCGACGTTTTTAGCAATATTCCAACAATATCGATATCACGGCAGGGGGACACCAGAAATGGACTTCACACATTGTACCTATGTGGGGAAACGAACCCGGATCTTCAGCATGACGAGCGGACGCTTTGACCACTATCCTACCTCATCGCCCCCTGTTCGATATACCCGCAGTTCGTTATATGCATATGGACTAAAATATAGAGCAATGGCGGGCCCAAGTTCGGTATAAGCGTGTTCGTTATAAAATAAACTTAAATTACAAATGTTGTCGATGTGAAAGGAATTTGATTCTCGACTGCATGAACGTAAAGGCGGTGAGGTGAGGTGAGGTGAAATTGGGTTTTACGTCGTGCTCGAGAATATTTCCCTCATATGACGACGTGCATGCGTGTGTATGTGTATGTGCAGCTGCTTGTACTAGCCCACACTTAAGCTGGCTTTATAGTGCTAGCCCACTGAGATACCATGCCGCAGTGAAGCATGAACATCCAACTCAGACACATTATACTGACTCCGAGCCGACCAGTCCTTGTTGTACCCATTAATGCCGAGCGCCAGGCAGGGACCAACAAGTACCATATTTTAACGTCTTTTGGTATGACGCGGTCGGGGATCGAACCCGCGACCTTCCGCTCTCCGGGCGGACGCTCTTACCACTACACCACGGAGGCGGTCTGAACGTAAAGGCAGTTTAAACTAATTCTGTGAGTAAATGTCAACTGCCCTGTTCACAGTATTTTGGTTTTATTTAAAATCTAAACCAGTGAAGGTCCGGGCTAGAATATTGATCTTCAGAAACCCATGCTTATCGTAAGAGGTGACTAACGGGATCGGGTGGTCAGGCTCGGTGACTTGGTTGACACATGTCATCGGTTCCCAATTGCTCAGATCGATGCTCCTGCTGTTGATCACTGGATTTTCTGGGCCAGACTCGATTATATACAGACCGCCTCCATATAGCGTGAATATTGTTGAGTGTGGCGTTAAAACTAAACTCACTCACTCATTTAAAAATTATGATGGGTTTAGAATGACATCATATCAACCTATGATATGGATATAAAATGTCGACACCAGACAATTATCATTGTCAAATACTAGGGCTGCGCAATATAACCGGTTTACCGGTATTTACCGGTTCAGACATGAAAACGATACGTATTGCGATACGCTGATCGGAAACCGGAATTTTGACTTGCATTCGGAAAACTTCGTAACACTCGGAAATCTTCAGATATGTCCTTGTTTCATATAATTCGTCACCACTCGCCCCTTTCCGTAACGCTTTTCGGCTTGTCCCGGAATATCGCTGAGTTGGTCACGCGAAAAATATTACTAGTAGTCACATTTTTATTTCATCGTGATTAAAGTTGTTATTAAAGCTTAATCAAGCCTAGTGATTTTCTTGTGATTGCTCTATAAATCAAGAATTAACTCGATTATAAGTGTTTTGTTTAAAAATACTTCATGCAATATATTGCAATCCATATCGCAATACATGCTTTCGCATCGCAATATATCGCAATTTGAATATTATCTGCAAAACCCATCCCTATCAAATACGCGAAGAAACACATTCAGTTGGGCGTAAAAATACAAAATAGTGATAAAAATACTATGGATTATTTAAATCATGTATACATGGCAAGGGATAAGCATCACCACACTCAAAACGATACTCTCTGATGATCTAAACTCTCTCGTCTCTCTCTCTCCAGTTCAACTGTCCATGTGAAATGGAGTATGTATCTTTGTTAGGGGCTGGGGAGCTTGGGTAGCCTAGTGGTTAAAGTGTCCACTCGTCAAGCCGAAAACCCGGGTTCGAAACACCACCAGAATTACATATAATTACATAATTACATGAAGCATATTTCTGGTGTCCCCCGCCGTGATATTGGCGGAATATTGCTATAAGCGGCGTAAAACCATACTCACTCACTCATATTTCCTCCCTCAAGGTGGAGTCTCTGTAACCTGGATATATGGACAATACTGCGTGGTGACGTCATTCAAGCGCCCAAACCCTGATCATAAAGACTCCATTGTACGACAGTATCAGTTACCTGCCATCACGTCAATAGATACACGATCAAGAAACCGATCCAAACATCAGTCTTGATTTAATGTCCTATAAAGTATGTCCATGGTGTCCGGTGATGATTAATGTTCAGTGTTATATTTGTTCTTAATTTCTGCATTCAGTTACCATGGTGATATGTCAGCTTGATGCGGGAGGAAAGAAAACAGAAAATGATGCATGTCTTAGTGAGTGAGTGAGTTTAGTTTTACGCGGCACTCAGCAATATTCCAGCCATATGGCGGCGGTCTGTAAATAATCGAGTCTGGACCAGATCATCCAGTGATCACACCGATCTACGCAATTAGGATACGATGACACGTGTCAACCAATCCGCTAGTCCACCCGATTCCGATCCCGTTAGTCGCCAATCCCGTTAGTCCACCCGATCCCGATCCCGTTAGTAGCAAATCCCGTTAGTCCACCCGATCCCGATCCCGTTAGTCGCCAATCCCGTTAGTCCACCCGATCCCGATCCCGTTAGTCGCCAATCCCGTTAGTCCACCCGATCCCGATCCCGTTAGTCGCCAATCCCGTTAGTCCACCCGATCCCGATCCCGTTAGTCGCCAATCCCGGTAGTCCACCCGATCCCGATCCCGTTAGTCGCCAATCCCGCTAGTCCACCCGATCCCGATCCCGTTAGTCGCCTTTTACGACAATTATGGGTTACTGAAGATCAATCCTAACCCGGATCTTCACGGGTTGCATGTCATAGATGCTTACAACCGTGAGACCACAAACACGGGTGTGGTGCAGGCAAACCTAGAAACGTAACCGTAGCCAGTCGGGATTCAAACCCACGGTCATAGGTTTCAGGCGTACCAAAAGGAGATTGAGTTTCAAGTAAATCTACTGGGGTTAAACTCAAAGTTTATATTTTCTGTTCCGCCGAAGACCGCTCTTGAAATAAACTTAATACATCTCTAGACATGTCATTCACCTTGTGTCAAGAAAACAGAATTTGCGCATTTGCCGCATTTGAATTTGTTAAAATTTAAAAAATGTGGAGCTTGAGGGATTTGAAAAAAAGTCTCGGAAGTATAAACATGAATGTGTGCACAGTTACGTTTGACTGTTTGTATACTGGGAAGATGTAACGGTTTAACTTGACGACTCTTATCCTGTCACTGACCGCAAAGTAGATCATGATGAATTGCTTTATCAGTAACTGCTAAAGGAAGACATCGCGCGGTACTCGAAGGCTTGCAGACCTACTGTAACACGTGACCTGTACCTTATGTGTCATGGAGTCTGAACAGCGAGGGACATTGCTTATAATACAATCAATGTATTGTCTGGTCGAGGCTTGATTATTAACAGGCAACAGTCACGTAGCAAGAATATTTCTAAGGGTGCCTTTGAACAACAAATAAACAAATTGTATAGTATTTACCCAAGCCCATCCAGAAGCTCGTGGGTTGTTCATGAGAGTCCATCCACGCTGGCAGAACCCTTTCCACGGCGTCGTGGGATTCTTGTTGTTCTCGTCAACGTGCCCCAACGCCCCCTTCCGGTTCTTCTCCAACTTCCTCAGCGCCTCCAACGTCGTTGTCCACGAGTTGTAGTTCGTCCAGCAACACTCCTCAATCTCATCCTCCTCCACGCCCCAAAACGCCAGCTCATTCTTAATGGAAGCTCCACACAGCCAGGCAGGGAGGTGCAGCTCCCCCGTACGGAGGTAGTTCAATATCGCCTTGAAAACGTCAGGCTCACGGTCGAAGAAGTAATCTTTCCTATCCTCCCTGTAATGCTTCTTCAGAAAGTCCTCATCCGCTAGAGGACTGAAAGGAAGACGGTTTAAGGTGGATCTGTATGTTTCGAACTGGGACCCACCAACATTGAAGATGATTGTTTCATTGGAAGTTCCAACGTTGATGGTAATCTTTTTGTTGCCTTTGTTAATCCTAGCTCCTGGCATTAAAGCATGCAGGACATGTTCGGTGTCTTTGTCCCTCATTCTAAACATATTGGAATCTATTTCAAATATCCACTTCTGTGAAAACGACCACTTTGTGAAACGTCACCAGCTTGCTTGATGTGCAGTGTGCACGGCCTGATATCGTTGCTGCAGCGCACCTGTTGGGGCGTCCCATACTAACCTGTGTCAATTCATACTCATAAGAGTGACATAAACATCAAATACTACGGTTCAAAAATACCATACACGGATGGTAAAGAAAGAGTTGTCCAAGGTTAGTCAGAGAGTGTTACTGAGGGCGAGCTCAGAGACGTGTCGTGAAGCACACACAGAAATAGAAACTTGATGTAGCAATACAGAGGGACACAATGAACCGCCTAATAACCGAAACGAACTTATTCGACGGATCACAATTATAAAAGCCTCCTATTGCCTACTTGAGATGAAGGTAAATTCATTCATGGCCTTCAGACTTTGTCCTTCATAAATTAACATGTCCGTAAAGTTATAGCGTATTGTTCGTTCACATCGTGATGGCACACATTAACACAGATCCATGTTCGTTGAGTCGTAAAGGTACGTAGTCACTTTATGAGCCCATTCGTCTATGCTGGGCCGGGATATATGTACAAAATCAAAACCTTTATCGAGAGTCTATGCATACACAGACACAGACAAACACGCGTGAAGTCCCGACCGTCAATCCACGCGTACGTTTCTGATAAATATTATGTTGAAACGATGACGGTGACCTGAGGTCATACGTCAACTATCCCAGCGTGACACCATGGGTGGTGGCTGATTCCCACAGCAGTCGGAGAAGAAAGGAGACGGTGGCCCAGAGGAAATGGCTGTTGTATTATAGAGTCATCCACGGTCTTTAACCTCGACGTCTCACGCTTCACCAGTTTCAGAACAGACACACAGGACACTGTGGTTTCAGCCACCTGAAAGAAGAAAGTTGAATTGTTAACAAACGTACGTTTCACTGACTGCTCTAAACAACCACCCCGGCTCTGTATTTGTTTTCAAAAATAATTGAATTTTGATAATTTTAGTGACAGTGTAGGAGGCCCAAATGACATTCCCTAATACGCACAAGAGCCCCACCCAAAGCCCCTCAACCAGATCAACACCCCCACCCCTACATCCCCCAATGTGGCTTTATACATGTGATGCTCTGTCATGTGCAATCTTTCATAAACTGTTTGCATATACAGTGGGTGAGTGAGTTTAGTTTTACGCCGCACTCAGCAATATTGCAGGTATATGGCGGCGGTCTGTAAATAATCGAGTTTGGACCAGACAATCCAGTGATCAACAGCATGAACATCGATGTACGCAATTGGGAACCGATGACATGTGTCAACCAAGCCAGCGAGCCTGACCACCCGATCCTGTTAGTCGCCTCTTACGACAAGCATGGGTTACTGAAGGCACATTCTAACCTAGACCTTCACGGGTTTGCATATACAGACTAACATGCAGACATGGATGCTCGTTGTGTAATATATATATATATACTATGCCCGTGGTCAAGTTGATAGAGTGTCTACCTTGAGGCGGAGGTCGACGGTTCGATTTCCCACCGCGTCACATTATTTATTATTATAAGATATTTATATAGCGCACATATCCACGCAAGTAGTGCATGCTCAAGGCGCTGGTATTTTTTTCCTCGATCATTGGATGTCAATCTCAATGGCACCTAGTATTATCAATCTGAACTTCCTGGGGAGTATACAACTCTTGCTGCCACTAGGTGCACCGAGTTATTGTGGCTTTCTCATCCTAACGAGGTACCCATTCACAGTTGGGTGGACTGGAACACATAGTCACAGTACTTTGCCCAAGTTTACCGCACGTTGCTGTATCCTCACCTAAGTCTTTGCACGTATTCATGTGGCCACCATCTGGTCATATACCAACGGATTCGTGGGTTCTTTTAAGTGCACAGGGTTGTGTACTGTACACTAGGGGTTGTGACAACACGGAAAGAGTCTGCACACAAAGTTGACTCCAAGGTTTTTACACCCGGTCATAACCATAACCAGCTCGCCCACCGCGCCCCCGCGTCACATCAAAACAAACCGAAGATCCAGGTTAAAACCGATCTTCAGCAACGATATCCTTAGTGTCAAAGGAGGCGACTAACGGGGCTAGGAATTCAGGCTCATTGACTTGGTTGACACATGCCATCGTATCCCATTTGTATAGTTCGGTGCTCATGATGTCAGTCACTGGATCGTCTATCTATTTACAGACTTTCGTTATACAGCAGGAATATTAACCGGACAACATACAAACACACCAATCACGGTAAACGATGGTACTTGTTATCACCCTGCCTGGTTCTCGGCACTGACGGGATAAACCCGTGAAGATCCGGGTTAGAATTGATCTTCAGTAACCCATGCTTGTCGTAAGAGGCAACTAACGAGATCGGGGTGGTCAGGCTCGCTGACTTGGTTGACACATGTCATCGGTTCCCAGTTGTGCAGATCGATTTTCATGCTGTTGATCACTGGATTGTCTTGTCCAGATTCGATTATTTACAGCCCGAGGCCATAAAGCAGGAATATTGCTGGGTGCGACGTAAAACTCAACTCACTCACTCATTGACGGGATTAAATAAAGACTAAGGGTCCTGAGTGAGTACACCATGTTTCGTATTAAACTGCGTCATCTCAGTCGTCTCGCCTCATAGAACCAGCAGTATGTTTATCAGATTTTACTTCAACCGATTACCATTGCATTCACGCATCTCTGAGTAGCAGGTGCACCCAAGTGCAGGCAGCCGCTGTCTTGCAATACTTACGGAAGGTTGACGACATAACGACATAAAGACTCGAATGCGTTGATCCCTGACCAAGAATGCATATTTTGGAAGCGTTTGAACAATCTACCCTGATTCTGGACACTGTCGACCCGTGAAGATCCGGGTTAGGATATGGATCTTCAGTAACCCATGCTTGTCGTAAGAGGCGACTAACGGGATCGGGTGGTCAGGCTCGCTGACTTGGTTGACATATGTCATCGGTTCCCAATTGCGCAGATCGATGCTCATGCTGTTGATCACTGGATTGTCTGGTCCAGGCTCGATTATTTACAGACCGCTGCCATATAGCTGGCATATTGGTGAGTGCGGAGTAAAACTAAACTCACTCACTCACTCTGGACACTGTCCCAGATACTTCGACAACGACAGTTTATTTTACACTCTTCACAGATTATTTTGATATTGTAGACTCCACAGCTAATTGATGAAGGTTGGTGGGGAAGCCAAGTGGTTAAAGCGTTCGCTCATCATGCCGAAGACCCGGTTTCTTTCTCCACATGGATGCAATGTGTGAAGCCTATTTGAGGTGTCCCCCGTCGTGATACTCTGTGAATATTGCTGGGAGCGTCGTTCAAATCATGCTTACTCACAATGATAAAATCGTTAGGGGTTAACGTCAACAACGTCACTAACGTCCTCATCATTTGTCTCGCACTTCATTGTATCGTGATTGGTCTGCTATTGCTTCTTTCGATCGGCCTCAAACTGAAGCTTTGATGATGACAGGGTGTTGTGTATTTATACGAATAGAACCGTTATATTAAAGACGGGTTAATCGGCATGAGTAGTGTTCAGTAGAAAACACATGTACTGCATACTTAATCACTTACATGCTAACATATGTTATATTTGGGATTACACTTTCTTACTAAAGTACAAATTCTAGTACTTTTGTTGGGTTGAGTCCCATCCGGGATTCGAACCCACACCCTCAGAGTCAGGCATCTAATCGCCAGCACACAAAGTCACATGCTGTTTAGGGTGGTGGAGTAGAACTGTTGTCAAATCGTTCGATAAAATTATACTCACTAACATGCTGTTTCGAATAAATTTCACATTTGAATATATTTTTAAAAACATCGACCCGTCAGCGTTTCGTGGACTCCATGACATCAAACCGTCTTCAACACCTTCAGCTTCTGACGTGCGTTTCAAAAACACATGATTGGCCACGCTCTATTTCCTGCTTTGCATCGGGAACTAAACATCATATGCACCGCCTTTAATGTGACGCGTCTGTGTTGAAGACTGTAACAGGCCATTCAAGCAAATAGCTTCTTCAACCCTTACATTTCTATAGTGATCTGTCAGCAATCTCATAAATATTCAGAGATAACAGAATTTGAATGAAGTGCACATTATACGGTACACCTGGTTCAAGTCAAAGTTGGTTTCAACGATTTGATGTGTTTACAACGAGCGACATGGGGTTCAAAACGCCAACGCTAGATATTATTATTATCATTCAGTCCGGATTATCAGCCAAGTCAGAAAACATTGGGCGTAAAAATATATTGTAATAAAAATTATATCAATGGATTTCTGAAAGTGAGTGAGTGAGTATGGTTTTACGCCGCTTTTAGCGATATTCCAGCAATATCACGGCTTGGGACACAAGAAATGGGCTTCAAACATTGTGCCCATGTGGGAATCGAACCCGGGTCTTCGGCGTGACGAGCGAACGCTTTAACCACTAGGCTACCCCACCACCCTCTCTGAAAAGCACTGATGACACCGGTTGTTATCAAACAGGGAAATGTGGTCCACTCTTCCGGTGGTCGTCTGTTAGGCAGCGGAGGGATAGCGTAGCGTGTTTTTTTCGGGTGAAGAATTGACTTGCCTTTGCATGTCTTTATGACGGCTGCTCAAGTTTTCGCAAACACCTTATGTCATCACTTTTTGACAGTGATACACAAACATGTTCATAATATAGTCGGGCGATGGGGCAGCCTAGTGGTTAAAGCATTCGCTCGTCACGCCGAAGACCCGGGTTCGATTCCCCACACGGGTACAATGTGTGAAGCCCATTTCTGGTGTCCCCCGTCGCGATATTGCTGGAATATTGCTAAAAGCGGCGTAAAACCATACTCACTCACTCATAATATAGTCGGAACTGTACGATCAACTCTGTTTTTAACAGATATATATATATATATATATATATATATATATATATATAAGCATGTGATAATCTTTCTGTTGCTTGTATCATCATAGGAAAGAAGATATAATAAAGACATCCATACAGTTGTCTCCGTTTAGAGATTATAGCCCAACAAACCAAATGAATCGGTTGTAGTTTTAGTTGATAATTTTTCATCCACAACCGTCGTCCACGAATTTCATATTATCTTATCATGCAGAGCTCTAGATGATGTAAGAAAAAGTATACTCCCTAGTTATTTTTGTAATAACCCCCATACTGATAAATTTATTTCCCTTATGAAATCTGACTACCATCCTCTGGTGCGAAAATGTCACGTTTAGCGAAAACTGTATTATCCCTGTTTTAGTTATACATTTATATTATATTCATATGCATATAAGCCACAATGGCACTTTGTATTTATCAAAATATATGTATGTTCTCTGTATCATTTTGTATGATTTATGAGAATAAAAAAAATCCTGAATCCTGAGTCCACGGCGGATTTCCAAAGTAAACCGAAATTCTGTCCTTGGTCTGTTTAATGTGTAAGGAATGTAAACATTCAGCTTATCCGCTCTAACCGTAAGCCCTTTCTGGGCAGGATCCTTAATCCCCAGTGCAGTATATAAATGTCAATTAACATGCATCCTTGCTTGTACGGAAGACCTTGCACCAGACTTTGTAATTCCTCAACCTACAAAACCTGACTAACATGGTCAGTCACGTGAGGAGTGAGTGAGTGAGGTTTTACGCCGCTTTTAGCAATATTCCACCAATATCTGGGGACACCAGAAATGGGCTTCACACTGGTCAACCAGGAGACGGGTACAGGTGTTTCACAGAAGCGGTCGACTTCTTCGGTAAGTCGTTGCGTCAGTAAAGGCCGCCGCATCACCAGCGACTACGCCGACAGTCGTCCTGCCCGTGGGTAAGAATTGGACACTTAGTTGGTTTGTTTGTTGGGGCGGTGGGGTAGACTAATGGTAAAAGCGTTGGCACGTCACGCCGAAGACCCGGGTTCGAATCCCCACATGGGCACAATGTGTGAAGCCCATTTCTGGTGTCCCCCGCCGTGATGTTGCTGGAATATTGCCAAAAGCGGCGTAAAACCATACTCAGTCAGTCAGTGGTTTGTTTGTTATTGAACTCCACACTCAGCAATATTCCAGCTATAAGGCGGCGGTCTGTAAATAATCGAGTCTGGACATGACAATCCAGTGATCAACATCATGAGCATCAATCTACGTAATTGGAATACAATGACAAGTCAGCGAGCCTGACCACCCGATCCCGTTAGTCGCGTCTTACGACAAGCATGGTTTTTCTCACCGAGAACATTGGCCGCCCTGTCCTGGTGTGCTGTCATCAACTTGTACCTTTTAGACCTCGACTATCATCTAGTCTACAAATAGGACATATTTTTTAAAAAACCACCTAGTTTTAGGTGACCTTACATAAGATAATTATAAAGAGCTAAGAGATTTTCTTCATTTCAAAGAGACTCTGAGTAACTGCAGAAACCTACACTTGCCAAATATTATAGACCTACATAGACTTTTTTTGATGGGCATTTTAGAAGTTGAGTTGATGAAGAATAATGACAATTATTATGGATTTACAACTTCTTTTATTCTGTGAAATCACTTGCTTGACAACAACATTAGAATCTATGTCGAAACGTCGCCTCCACAGAATAAAATAAGTTGTATATCCATAATAATTGTCATTATTCTTCTACATAGACTTTGTTGGATATATTTTTCTGGATCTGTATGACAGAATATCCCTTATGCGCACTGCTGCTGTCTTCTCAGATTTCACTAATGGGTTTTTTCTTTCTTCGTCCCGCTGAGCTACCAACCTAGGGCAAACGTGTGCCCTTAGACAATAATATGAGCTTGTGTCAAATGAATAACTACGACAGACAGCGTCTATGTCAGTCTGGCTTTAAATCGGTGCATAAAAATTTGGGTGTAGGACAAGGTTGCGGCATATCTCCGTCTCCTTTAATGTTTACCGCGCACACTTTCAAGAGTTAAAGTTAAGCGAAATCGCCTTCAGCGTCGTTGACACCTGTCACGCGGCTTTCTCGTTGGAGGTCTTCCTTCTGTAAACTCTGTGTTTTTTTAAAACTTTCCCGTTAATCGACTACGCCGGTCGCTTGAAATAAACGGATTCACGTAATTTCATCACTCACGCGGAAGCATAATTATTCTGGAGGAAAATAACATTTGTTTCAAAAATGTATTTAAAAAAAATGAAATTTATTCATGTTTAGATACTGAATTTTCTTAGACCTAGTCGATTATACCATAGCTATTTCATGTCTGTGTGTTTGTGTTCAAGTTTTTAATTTTTCCATTCATATACCGCTAGTTTGTGTTGTACATCCGATAGTTATTCTCAGACGTTAATGCTTCACGTTTATGGATGTAGACTTAATGATGTGGTTATTTTGGTTAAAGGGGCGGTGAGGTAGCCCAGTGGTTAGAGCGTCACGCTGAAGATCCGGGTTCGCCACATGGGTACAATGCGTGACGCCCATTTCTGGTGTCCCCCGCCGTGATATTGCTGGAATATTGCCAGAGCCGGAGTAAGAGTAAAACCATACTCACTCACTCACTCATAATCCTAACCTAAGTTGCTAGTGTATAATTACAAAAATATAAATTTAGTTCACAACATACGTGTACAAAGAAAATGTGATCTTAATCTGCTATAACGACCAAATAATGTTTGTTACGTCACTGAGCTAAATAGTATTGGGGCGGGAAAGGAGGACATATGGGGGTTGTGCTGTGATTGGGGGATATTCATGTCGGGGACATTGCTAGATGTGTTTGCTGTCCCTCATTCAGCACAAAAACATTTATTCTCTGAAACGAGAAGCCGAGATATAGTTTAATATGAGCCACAAAACCCTTTTCACATTCAAATAAAATCTCTGCTGAAAAGAGTCGAGCGGACGATTCTGGCGACATCGTGTGCATGTGTTTATGAATCACTATCTAATAGTATTGATGCCAGGTGTTCGCAACGGGGGGGTGGGGTGGGGTCGGGGTCGGGGTGTATTCACCCTTCCGGTGGCACCCGTCAGAAGCTCAGTCAAAGCGAATTAATTTTTCACCTGAGAAAACAGGAAAATCAGGTACAAGTCAACATAGGGAGTTGCATCAGACATAATTATGTCAGTGTGGCGTCAAATTTGAAAATGTCACCACGTGTGTACACTAAAAACATTTTTCAACCTTTATCGTGACCACGAATTTTGTTACCTTAAATAAACAACTGATATTTGTCATGGCAACCTACACACCCAGCAAAACATTTTTGTTTTAAAATCTGAAGCAAAGGTATTTTTTTCCATTTCCTGAACAAATCCATGCCCACGGAATACTAAATGCACCGTCTCATATCATGGATAGGAATACGACAAGTACCAACCTTCATGTGATAAATCCTTCAACAAATGTAGAGACTCCTCAGCACTATGTGTTTAAGCCTAGCCTGTACATCACAACACCGTGATCCCGTGACGAGGACAAAACCCTTCCCTAAATCTACTCAAGGCAGGAATAAATTGCACACATGTCAGCCATTCAGCTCGTTAGACTTTCAACGGGCGTTGCTTATATCACAAAACATTCCTTTCCCCATGTATGGTCCTTGTTAATGAAACAGGGTCCGTTTCATATAACAGTAACAGCTATTACTCAGTTTGACATTTTCAAAGCTTTTCAATGAGCATGTCATGTTTGATTTATAAGGTAACTCATATGTCATGATGTTTGCCCGTATATACATGTATTATATATACATGCTTTATATAAATAAGGAAAAGGATGTGCTAAATGGAAGGTATATAAAAGCCGATCTCAGATGTTTAACACATTGGTGACAAATGCTGATGTGCTCACGAGGCTATATATATCATAAGAGCAAATCTGGCTTTCAAATGCACGATGGTGCAAAAACTAGTGTATATCTGACATTTTGTGTAAACGTTATTCAACCAGAAATACATAAGTGGATTTATTACTAACCTTTGTTCAGCAAGGGTAACAGTCGGGAGGATTTGTGTCACGTTTCACTAACTTTGTTTTCCGGGAGATGGCTGTGATTTGTCGCCACAGAGAACTTGATTGTAGACGCCCGCACGCTCCTCACAGCTTGTGGTGGTGTACTACAAGGTTATCGCTTTCCTCCCCCTCTATTGCGTCTTTTCCCGCGTAGGCTTAGCGACTCCCATAATCCATTCACGCGCCACATCCCGGAAAGAGAGGCGAGAGACCCTTTAACAAATTCCCCAGGGTAAGACAGATTTGAATGCAGGTATTTTAATTTTAATTGTCACTGAATAGTTGTTTACGTAAAATGTGAACATGAGAGAGGGCATTAGGTACCGCTGGACAAATAACCCCGACTTTCTAAATATACGCAGACCGTAAAGTTGTGATTTAACAATGAGAATTATATGCGTAGTCAGTGTGACTCACTGCAGGGATGAGAGGTAGCATAAGGTTGCTGTTTATGACAAATGGATGAATTTCATTTATTTACAATACGCACAGCTACATCAAAGCAGCCTTTTAGAAACGTTCGACTGGTAAATATATTTCGTGTCAGTACTGGAGTTTTGTGGGTGGTGGTGGGAAAGCCTAATGGTTAAAGCGTTCGCTTGTCACGCCGAAGACCCGGGTTCGATCCACCACCAGAAATTTGTGCAGCCCATTTCTGGTGTCCCCGCCGTGATATTGTTGGAATATTGCTAAAAGTGGCGTAAAATAATACTCACTCACTCACTGGACTTTTGTATACGATGGCATGTATCAGTCAGATCAGCATGGGTTGTTCTGGATTAATTTTAACCCGGATGATAACGGTTCCCTGGATTGCAGTCCCCAGTAGCTCTTTTCGTCCGTATACACACACCTAGCCTTGCTCCAAGGCTGTACTGAATGCTGAGCCCATGTATGTATAGTAAATCTATCCTTTAGAGAGGCAAGTCTAGATCGCCAGTCTGTTAGAGGAATATGTATATTTTGTAGAAATTATCATTGTAACTATCTATTAGAGATTTGTGCAAGTCTAACACCCCCCGATGCGGATGGTTCCTCATTGTTTGGTAAAGATTCGGATGGGTTGGGGTGTGATGTATGGGTTTTTGAAAGAATGACCAGTCCCCTAGGACTTTCGAGTTTACAACATGTGATTCCCGTAATCTGAGCCAATGTGGCATTTAAACTGTTGATCCTGGGTGAGGTGAGGTGAGGTGAGGTGAGGTGAGATGAGGTGAGGTGAGGTGAGGTGAGGTGAGGTGAGGTGAGGTGAAATTGGGTTTCATATGACGACGTGCATGCGTGTGTATGTGCGGCTTCTTGTACTAGCCCAGACTTAAGTTTGTTTTATAGTGTTAGCCCACTAAGATACCATGCTGCAGTGAAGCATGAATACCCCACTCAGACACATTATACTGACTCCGAGCCGACCAGTCCTTGTTGTACCCATAAATGCCGAGCGCCAGGCAGGGACCAACAAGTACCATATTTTAACGTCTTTTTGGTATGACGCGGTCGGGGATCTCCGGGCGGACGCTCTAACCACTACACCACGGAGGCGGTCTGTAGATCCCGGGCTTCTGCAAGGGCGCACTTGAACATCACAAGCGACTAACGGGATCGGGTTGTCCTTTACACGTACTTGGTTGATGCATTTCTTTACCAAATGCGTAGATCGATGCCCAGTATGTCTGAAGTCGTCTGTTCTTGATTCAATTATTTACAAATCACCTTCATAAAGCCGAGAGAATGTGGGGGTAGCGGTTGTTACAACGTTCGCTCGTCACGATAAAGAGCTGAGTTCGCACATGGGTATAATGTGTGAAGCCCGTTTCTGGTGTCCCCTGACATGATCTTGCTTGAATATTGCTAAAAGCGGCGTAAAACTAAATTCACTCATAAACTGGAATATTGCAGTGAGCTAAGAAGAACAAAGGGTGAGTGAGTGAGTTTAGTTTTAAGCCGCACTCAGCAATATTACAGCTATATGGCGGCGGTCTGTAAATAATCGAGTCTGGACCAGACAGTCCAGTGATCAACAGCATGAGCATCGATCTGCGCAACTGGGAACCGATGACATGTGTCAGCCAAGTCAGCGAGCCTGACCACCCGATCCCGTTAGTCGCCTCTTACGACAAGCATAGTCGCCTTTGTAGCAAGCATGGGTTGCTGAAGACCTATTCTACCCCGGATCTTCACGGGTCAGAAGTTGGTATTCGAGTAGAGCCATTCAGCAGGGCTGTAACGATGCATCGAACTATCGATGGAATGCAATTGTTGAGTCTCCGATTTTAATTAATCGATGGTGGAAACGAAAAACTATCGATGCATCGATAGTATGTGTGATTATCGATAGTTTAGCAATTGCTTCCATTGATAAATGCGCAGCGCAAAATATAGGAAGTACCAGATTGTTTGGGTGCAGACTTGCAGCTTCATTGAGTTTATGTTTTAACTGTTTACTTGATCTGGATTTCAAGTTTCTTGTCAGTTATTAAAAGAGACTGAAACTACTAGCAACTTGTTTTTATCGCATATAAACTATACATTCATTTGGGAAATAACTTCAAATGAGACATTTCAAGGAGGAAAGCAAAAAACAATTGCAAGAGGATTGCAATAGTTGGTCGCAATAGACTATCGCTATCGTAAAAGTTGTTTTCACCTCAATAGTCACCCCTACTAATCAGTGGATAATTAGGAGATAAACATACTGTGTTGGAAAATCAGAGGTACGTTTATCTCCATTCTACAATAACCGGGTTATTAAGATTAAAAAAAACCATACACACTGTGTTGGAAAATCAGAGGTATATAACGTGATTATATACCTCTGAATGACTTTGATTAACCAATCACAATCCAGTATTTATTGAAGTCATGGTAGAATCGTGACTGGAGTGTTTTATTTGACTGTAACGTTCATATATTTTAAGACCCAACTACGCTTTTCCTGGTGAGATACTGAATGCGGATATGCTATGAAGGCCTATGTAATGTATATGTTTGGGAGTTAACGTGCAAATACTCACAGATGCAAGTATCAACAGTTATGATAATATAATAATAGTCCATTTATCATGCGCAATTCTCCATGCACAATGCATGCTCGAAGCGCCAAAACAATCTGATTATTAATCCAAGCTGCCTGTGAAGAGCTAGAAGGTTAATGGTTACATGACTTTTCCCACCGGGTACCCATTTTCTGCTGGGTGAACAGAGGCAATTTTGAACAAAGTCATTCACCCATACCTACTCTACTCACATGCATATCACGTAAGAGGCGACTAACGGGATCGGGTGGTCAGGCTCGCTGACTTGGTTGACACATGTCATCGGTTCCCAATTGCGCAGATCGATGCTCATGCTGTTGATAACTGGATTGTCTGGTCCAGACTAGATTATTTACAGACCGCCGCTATATAGCTGGAATATTGCTGAGTGTGGCGTAAAGCTAAACTCACTCACTCACTATCCACGCCCTTATTCCCTTTGTGTGAACATTAACCCGTGATGTGAGTCACTAGATTGTCAGACTGTCGTCACATAGCAGATATATTGGCCAGTGCAACAAACAAACTGATCAAAACACGTTAAACGATGGTACTTGTTGTCACCCTCCCTGCCTGGTACTCGGCACTGACGGGATAAACCCGGGAAGATGCGAATTGATCTTCAGTAACCCATGCTTGTCGTAAGAGGCGACTAACGGGATCGGGTGGTCAGGCTCGCTGACTTGGTTGACACATGTCATCGGTTCCCAATTGCGTAGATCGATGCTCATGCTGTTGATCATTGGATTGTCTAGACAGGCTAGATTATTAAAGACATATAGCTGGAATATTGCGGAGGTAAACAATAAACAACATCAACCTCCTAGACGTGGAGGCCGAGTCAACAGGTACTGTTTTTACCCAGAGTTAGTTACGATAGTCAAGTCCTCGTTTGCACTCAAGTTGCATATATTTTTAATACCTCTGACTGACATGTCTAAATCACGTGACATGTTGCCGTTCACATTGGGTTGTTCGGAAATCTATGAACACACATTATTTATTTATAAACTATTCAATTCTCACTCTTATTGTTGTGAGAGATTTATGTACAGTTAATCTAAATATGGCCATAAATGTATTGGCATTCCTTCACGAGGTAGTAGTTATCTTTTCCAGATATTCTGGTCTACAGATAACAGGATATATTGGACGCAACTATTGTCAAAGCATCCATATGACATTTACGTCGGTTTATGATTGACTGAAGACTACACGTGTCTTCTCAGTGTGAACTACTGCTACAGTAAAGTTCCATCAGAGAAGCAAGAAGCATGGACTATATATTTCTGGTCTTCTTGGTTCATGGTGTCCAATGTATCAACACAAGTCAATGGACTGCTGTATCCAGGCACAGAGTTGACACTTTGGGTGGCTTCTGGAATAGCTCAAGTTTAACCTTAATCGAGTGTGTCTATATGTGCTTACACTCACAGGGGTGCAAGGCAGTAGCTACTAAATCAACTACCAAACCAAGAGAAAGACTGTGTGTGTTTCGGAAGCATGGGTCTCTCCAAGGCGACAACATCATGTTCCTGAATCGTACCAATGATCCAGAACCAAATCCAGAAGAGTTTCTCCTCTATGAACCACGACACACCATCACCATCATGTCGAAGAATCCCCTCTCAACGGACATCATCAACAAAGTGCCACCTAGCAGAAATAGCAACAGCTTTGAGGGACTGCCACCTGAAGGACATCCAGTTGCCCAAAGAAAAAACGCCAAACAGAACAGTGCCGTCATATCAAATCCTTTGGATTCACTTGCTAGCAAAAAGGGGCTCGGAAAAACAGAGCAAGATCTTAAGATAAGCCTATCTGGTTTGATTGTAATTCAGCAATACAATAGATCTAGACGAAGAGCATTGTATACTTTCGATGTTGAGACGTGGACATTTCTTCAGCACAGAATGGATGTGAAGGGTACGATCATTAAGGTTGTGTTTGATCTCAAGAAGAACGTGATATATCGGGTGGAGTGTGGCAGTTCCAGTAGAGCCAGCACACTGAAATCAACATCACTGACGACACTTGCGGAGAGGCGCCTGTTTGATCTACCAACAAGAAATGTGGATCTTAATGTGCAAGATAATGGTCTGTACGTGGTAACTAAAACTCGCACGGGAAGCATTCTGATAAAAAAAGAATTGGTCTACATGGGAAAGAATGATAAGACACTTTTCACCTTTCCCCATAATATCAATGTTGACCATATGCAATCCGTTAAGGTGGACCCTATTCGAAACAAGGTCTACTGGTTAATATTGTCCCGAAGAAAGGTACTGTTGTATGTGACTGACTTCAGCAGTGAAACTAAACCGGTTCACATTGTGCTGAAAACAAGGAATGCGTACTTGTACCTATCTACTGAGCTGTACTGGGCTGATGACCAAGGTGTATGTTCAGTTGCCGACTTCAAAAAGGGCATTTCAAAGCATGTTACACGATGTGGATTTCATGTGAACTCAGTATCCACAGTTGGGAGATACAACGGCTATTGGTATCTGACCTGCTATAGTAAGAAAGGGACCAGGATCCGTATCTATGATGGTGAAATGAAACTAATGAAAGAACTGCAAGTGAAGTTTAAAGGTATTGTTGTATCTGAATAGTGGACCGACGTCGATTCTAGCATCGATCACGAAAATGCTGTCATAATGTAGTGACAATGTTACGTCAATGTTCTCGAACTGTCATCAATGTCAGCATTTCACAACTTCTGTGTTGTACAATCCAGAGTCTTCTTTCTAAACAGATTTCAAAGAACATTCGCAAACAAATTGTTTGATCTTGGTTTCTATATTAAAGCTTTGAAAACGTTCCATGACATTTCCAAATCTAACGCAACAAACTTGTGATATCCGATGTATTTCCTTATTTTGACGTGTACCATCTGTTTCAGTTTGTTTATGAGATCAAATGACTTTCCTTTGCATGTTCAAAACATATGTACACATGGGACTTCATTAAGCACACCCGTGTTTTAGAACACCAGTGATATGAACAAAAGGTGTCAGAACTTTCATACTTCTAGAAGGACTGTAATGCCTGATTTTCTGATAGAAGATTGAACGAACATTTTGTACAGGTTGGACCCTTGCTTGCAAACGACGATGTCAGATCAGGGCTCTTTGCCATGATGTATCGCTGGCCAATAAGATTTCCCAATACAGTCACCAATGTCAACTGAGTCAAGGGAGATGCATCCTCACACCATAACAGAGCCTCCACCAACGGGACCAGTAAGATAAATGTTCCTCGGCACACATGCAGCATTAATGCGCTTACACACTCTCAACGACCATCTTTAACACCATGGACAAATGGATCCGTGTCCTGGTGCGAAGATTCCAGCGCCGTCGATTGAAACACCACTGCAGACAGTGCCTTTGATGTTCATGAGTCAGAGTTGGACGCCTGTTGAGTGGGACCTCAAACCAAGAGCATTGAGACGGTTACTCACGGTCTTAGTTGACATACGTCTACTGGGCACCGAGAGTTGTTTCAAACAGTGCTCGTTACGAAGGGTTCACGACTCGGACGAGATTGCGATCTTCGACTGGAGTAGGTCTTCCTGGCATTGGTCAATCCTTGACAGTGTCTGTTTTGCTGGTGTTTCCGGATAAGTCTACTGAGTGGCAGAGACTAGGCTGACGCCCAATAGCCTTGAATGGCATGCCACCCATCTCAGTTCCAATGACAGTCCTCTTCTCGCCATGTTAATATCTATGGGTGAGTGAGTGAGTTTAGCAATATTCCATCAATATCAAAGCGGGGACACCAGACATTGTATGGATGGAACGGATGGCATATTCACAAGTTTTAAACCCTCGAACGGCCAGACAGATCTTCATGATATGAGCGAGTGGCATGCTTCACATTCAGATGGGCTGCGTTTTGGCAAATTATTTCAAACTGAAACATTGTTTCTTATGACCTGAAATGTGTTACTGAACAGTCGCATCATTACCATCATCGATAGCTGGATCATTATGATGAACATCGCTATGATGAAATGCATTAGGGGGTGCTTAATTAAGTTCCATGTGTATAGATCGATGTTCATGATATCAATCTCTGCTATTCTATTACACACAGACCGCCACTGTATTGTTAGTAAAGGTAAAGGTTATTAACTTAGGTTAATACCCCAAAATGTGTGTTTGTCAATCAACAATGATACCTGAGCTAATTCCTGTTTACAGCTCTTGAACCAACCGCGTTTTCTCAATGAATTGTAGAATTAAACAAGACTTATCTGAAAGTTGAAGTTTGACTCTAATTCCACCGAACTATGACGTAGGGATTACGTGAGATGTGCGCATGCGCATAACCATCGGTCTTTAGATAGAACATGTGTTCTGTAACACATGGGGTTGGTGTGGTGGGCACGTAATCCCTACGTCATAGCTCGGTGGAATTAGAGTCAAACTTCAACTTACAGGTAAGTCTTTGTTTAACTCTACAATTCCACCTCACAAATCTGTTTACGGGATTCCGTGAGGTATTTAGAGTCAGGACACATTTTCTTCCGTATAAGGTTTAAGGTAAAACAGAGAAAAAACAACATCACAGCCATAAGTGTGTCCACTCTATTGCATTCATTCAACATGTTCAGCAAAACATTCTATATCACAAACAATCTTCTCCTGGTAATATTACTGTTGGTAGTAATTTACACAATGTCATTCAAAGAAGTAGGCTAACTATAATGATAAAATTCTCTTATATAAACTTGCATGTGTATCCGACAATGGTAAAAACATGTAAGTCAGACATAAAGTGAACCACGTGTAATCATGGTAGTCATGGTAACATTTATTAGATTACTAATAAGCAGGGTAAGCATCAAACATGTCAAATAATACGATCACTGGCGGCAACAGTCTACTAATCTAGACAAGATATTTACTTGTCCATAGTCCCAATGGCAGACGCCAAAATAGTTTCACTAAAAACTGTCTCTTCAGTCCCGCCGTGATATTGCTGGAATATTGCTAAAAGCGGCGTAAAACTAAACTCAGTCAGTGTCTTCAGTCACTGGTTTATCATAGAACTTTCGAAACACACAGTCTCTCTTCCAGCCTGCTGTGTTTGTAAAGGCACTTTTTGTATGACACTCTGCTTGTTGTGGCGGAACGAACACTGTGAGGCTTAAATATGCTCATATTTATGCCAGCACCAGTAAGTACAATTTTGAACCATCTTGAAATTGTACCTTTAGTTACTTTTTGATGAGGTTTTTGATATGATATGAATAAGGCAGTTTCCCCATTCCTTATACTGTCAGTCAGTCTTAAGTTCTGCCTCAATGTTCTAACTACACAAAGGGCAGGGTCAGAATATCCTGCCAGTCAGTTCTCTCTGATGATGTTGTGGTCTTGATTGCTTCAACAAGTCCCCAAATCTTATCTTAACTGAATTATCACAAATATCCAAATTCTGAATGTCCATCAATTGTAATGACTGCAACCTCTGGCCTGTTAACACCAATAGTAGAGTCACAAGTTTGAAAGTTGTTAACTTAGATCTTCACCTATAGTCATGTTTCTTAAGTACTGTAGAACTATGCTACTGTCCCATCTCCCATTATATCTTGGCAAAGCTGGGCGCAAATTGAACACACCTCTCATGAAGTGCACTACTCTAGGGTGCTGTCCCAATGGAGTAACACCAACATTCACCAGTGATGACAAGGCAGACCTAGCACTGTTAATTGCAGAGTAAGACAATCCTTCATGATATAATTCTGCTAAGAAATCCAAACAACTATTCAAAGATGGTGACATGGGATTAACATGTTTCTTAGTGCAAAATGACAACCATTTTTTGAAATAACTCCCATATTGTTTGTGTGTCGAATTTCTCCATGAAGACAACAAGATGTCTGGAACAGGTTGCGAAACACCTTCACTTTCCAACGTTGTCCTGATAGATTGAACGCTGCTAATCTCAGCTTCGCTTGCAGAGGATGAGTGACTTGAGGGTTGTTTACCAGCGTTAGCAGTGACCTGGACCTTGGCAGCAATCTTGGGCAATCTGTCGATAGCTCGAGAAGCCTGGTAAACCAACTTTGGGTCATCCACAGAGGTGCAATCATCAGAATGACCGCGTAGTCTACTTGCACTTTCTGGAGCACTCGTCCGATCAAGCTGAATGGGCAAAACACATAATTGAATGAATATCCCCCAAAACAAGTGAAAGCATCAACTGCTTCTGCATATGGGTCTGGGACCCATGAAACATAAGAATCTAACTGCTTGTTTAATCTGGATGCAAATAAGTCACACACGGGTCTACCAAATATCAAGCTTAAATGCTCAAATACTGCACTGTCTAATTTCCACTCTTTGTCATCACACATATTCCTTGAATACCAGTCTGCTTCTACATTAACTGTTCCAGGCAAATGTGCAGCTGACAGCCAAATCTGTCGTTCCGGACCCCAAAGCCACATATCTCTGGCAATATTGTTACATGTTACTTTCATTCCACCCATGTTGTTGACATATGCTACAGCTGTAGTATTATCCAACTGGAGTCTGATATGCGCATGACTTTTATTACAGGCTAAGGACTGAAGTACAAAAAGCAGCTTTAAGCTCCAAAATGTTATTGTGTTGCTCATTTTCTTCCACTGCCCATAATCCCCCTGTGCGTGTGGATCCTAACACTGCACCCCAACAGGTCTTTGATGCATCTGATCTAACAATTAGATCAGGCTGCTGTACTTCAATTGGTCGGGGGAATTTGTTTACATTATGTATCCATAAATACAGTCCCAGTCCATAGTCACACTGGCATCAAATTTTCCAAGAGACTTTTTCAAAGCTTTGTTCTTAAAAATCTCTAACCTTTTGTAGTACATGGGAGCATAAAGCACTCCATGTTCACTTGCATTAAGCTGCGAATCCCCACATGGGCACAATGTGTGAAGCCCATTTCTGGTGTCCCCCCGCCGTGATGTTGCTGGAATATTGCTAAAAGCGGCGTAAAACCAAACTCAGTCAGTGCATTAAGCTGACCAATGACCGCTGCAAGTTCTCTGATTGTGACCGTAGTTGAGTTGAGTAAATAAATCCCTGCAAGCACTAACGATTTTATCCTGCTTTTTTCGAGTCAGTGACACAAGCATAGTCTTGCTGTTGATAACTAATCCCAGATAACTAATCTCTTGTGTAGGCGAAAGCACAGATTTTTCAGGGTGAATAGTAAATCCCAGGGCATCCAAAAGTGTAACAGTTGCATTTACATTATCCTGGCAGCGTGCCTCATCCTCACCAACCAAGAACGAATCAGCAATATACGATGAGTTAGAATGCCCTTCCTGTCGCAAATAAGAAAATACTGGCTTTAGAATTTTGGTGAAAAGCCTTGGGGCCGAAGTCAACCCATTCGGCATACACGTAAACTGTAAAAATTCGTTCCCCCAGAAGAACCTGAGATATTTCCTGTCAGGTTCAACTACTGGGATGGTAAAGTAAGCGTCCTTAAGATCTACAGAGGCGAAGAAACAGTCCTTCTGCACTAAATAAAGGGCAGATTTGAAGGTGTCCATTTTAAAGTGATGTTTATCCACTATATCATTGAGACGCTTCAGGTTCAGTATCAACCTCAGTGAATTGTCTTTCTTAACTCTACAGAAAATGTTAGATACAAATTCTCCTTCTGAATGAACACATCTTTCAACAATACCTTTGTCTAACAAAGTCTGAATTTCAAAGTTCATTCTATTTTCTTCTTCTTCAGAATATCTTATAGGCTGTGGGATATTATGTTGATAGGGAATTTCAGTAAAGTCGATCTGAATCCCTTTCACTGCAGATAATAACCACTGATCAGTAGTAAGTCTCTCCCAACTAGCTATATATTTTCTAGTTTTACCTGCCGTGAGATTATCTGGGGTATTAGTGAAGTCAAAGCTCATCTTTGCTTTGGCCGAGATGGGAACATTCACGTTCTGTTGTTCCCTCCCTCCTTCCCTCCCTCCTTCCTCTGATTCCCTAAAAAGGGGTGTGTTTTCCTTTGGGACCTTGTCCATACTGACCTCCACCAGAAAACTTTAGATTGAACTTGGGGCCTGGTTTTCCTGTTTTCCTTTGAAATGAGGCATTGCTGCTATAGGGGAGTATCTGTGCCCTTTACGTGAAATTGTGCCAGAGGTAGAGATCGAATGAGACTTGGAGTGGAGCTTACCAGCAATCTGTTTTGCTTCACCTATGTCTTTGATTTTCTTATGAAGTTCGTCTCCAAACAAAAGTGTTGAGGCAACCACACTACCTGAATGACATAAGCGTTTGTAAGGACCATTCAGGTCTGGTTTGAATCCATCTCGCCTCTTTTGATTCAAGTCCACCTGGGCAGCAATCAACAGTATAAGGGTGTCCTTGGCTTTGGTCAACAGGTCCCTAATATCAACATCTTGTTTTGCTACCAAAGTCGCCATAATTTCATTCATGATCAATATAACAGGCATGGTAGCCTTCAGAAGTAGTCCTTGCGTGTACTGAAATTTAACATCCTGTGTCCTCCTGCGATATTTCTCCTCGTTCCAGATTTCTTCATTTGTCCTCGGCACCACAAGCATGGGACAATTTTGGGGCTTTTTGTATTTGTCCATGAGTGCCTTGATCTTTTCATTCGACGTCGCTTTCGCGAGCCCATCTTGGATAGACTTGGGCAGTTCGTCATTTATTTTATCTCCGGTGGAATCATCATCACCAAAAAGTCATTCAGTTCAGATAACAGGTGCGCTACTGAATCAGCACTGTCACCCTCTCGCTCACCTCGTTCGCTTGGCTTGTCAGACACATACTTGGACAAAACATTATCCAAAAGGTCACATCCCCTTCATCTCCCGAATCTATGTCGCTCTCAGACAACTCACCATCCTCGCTGTTTCCAAGGTGGCGGCTTTGTTTACAAATCTTCGGAAGCAATCGGAAAGAATCTTCCCCAATCTGTTTGATAGTGTCCGATCTTTGCGATTCCAACAGTGAACCGATCATATTCGCCAGCTTTGTATAGCGCTGTGGTAATGAAAACTGGAAAATAATAAAGCGAACGCTTGAAGTTTCATGCGATCCTTTGTTTCTCTCTTCTTTGTTTTCAAAATT